AAAAAAAAAAAAAAAGAAAAAAAAAAAGGGTAACTGAGATAATGCTGGAAAAGTATTTGGCTTCTTACCAGTAAACATGAGCGGCTTTTTTGGCTGTTATTTTCATTATCACAATTACCATCGTTATTATGGACCGTTTCATCTTTCTTAAAACTCACTTCTTAGTTCATCTGACAGTGTGGTGTTCTGAATGTCCACTGCCACTCTTGTCTTACCTTCTGCTTTCTACGCATCTCTTTCTCTTTCATACCCCCAGTGCAGCACTTTTTTTTTTTTTCAAAGCTTTGTACTTAGTGTTCTTTTCCTTTGGCTATTTACTCTACTTCTCTTTTAACTCTTTCATCTGTATGAGTCCTGGATCTAACCATTCAGTCCCTGTTTCTTTCTAGAGAGTCTTGTCTTCCCAGTTATTTTTTCAGCATCTCCACCCCTTTGGCCTTCTGAGATATCAGTGTTTAAGACCAGACTCATCCTTTTGAACTCTTGATTTTGCCGTTTCTTTCAGGGATACCATCCTTCACTGAGGGTTGAACCTTTGGAGTCATCTTGAACTCTTCATTTGTTTCCTCCATCCAGTGCCCACTACACCCTCATTGGCTGCAAAAGATACTCTTGTTTCTATTTATACTACCAGTCCTCTTGCTAAGGTCTTTTTACTAACCCCCTTCCACATCTTTTTTTTTACACAAGAACTACTTTTTTCTTCTTGCATGTCTCTTCCTGCTTTCCGTAGCCCATGTCCTTTGTATCAGGGAAGCTGAGCCACCATGAGTGTTTATGGGGTAAGGGATTTCTGGAGCTTACAGTTGTGGGGAAGAGCTGGGCGCTCTGAGCCCTGGACACTGTGTTTAACCTCGTTGCCTGCACTGGAGTGCTAATAGTTTCCTGCATTTACCCATCGTTACAATCTGATCTCCCACTATGAAGTGCCTCTGCTCATAACCAGGAGATAGGAGTCACAGTGTCTGGATGTACCACTGCTTGGGTTCATTATTTTGTTCAACAATCCCTTCTGTTTTCTCAATCTGGAGAAATCTTTCAGGACTCAGCTTAAAAAAAAAAAAAAAAAAAAGTTATTTTTGACCTCAGCTAGGTATGATTCTTCTTTTGGCTAAATTTTTTTTTTTTTTTTTTTTTTTTTTTTTTTTTTGAGATGGAGTTTCACTCTTGTTACCCAGGCTGAAGTGCAATGGCGCGATCTCGGCTCACCGCAACCTCCACCTCCTGGGTTCAGGCAATTCTCCTGCCTCAGCCTCCTGAGTAGCTGGGATCCCAGGCACGCGCCACCATGCCCAGCTAATTTTTTGTATTTTTAGTAGAGACGGGGTTTCACCATGTTGACCAGGATGGTCTCGATCTCTTGACCTCGTGATCCACCCGCCTCAGCCTCCCAAAGTGCTGGGATTACAGGCGTGAGCCACCGCGCCCGGCCCGGCTAAAAATTTTTTAAAGTTTTTATCTTTTGTCATTGAGTAAACAGTTGTAAAGGGCTAAGATATGGCAGCCACTATCATGAGAAGTAGGGATTCAGCAGTGAAGGAAATAAAACGCTCATGTCCTTGTGGATATTGTGTAGCACTTTCTGTCTGTGCTACTGTTATCTGTGAATATTTCTTCCCACGTCTGTGTTTTTAAGTTGCTCCAAGACACGGGGTCATCTTTTTCAAGACTGTAGCTCCTCTGTGCCAGGTGTTCAGTAATTTCTCTTGAATGGAATGAAGAAACAGATGTGGAGAATGATAACATTTTATATGAATAAGCCGTTTGCTGGAACTAAGGACAGTTGTATCAGCTTGTGAGCAACCACAGATGGCATTTATTGCTAATGGTTGTCATTCTTACACATGGGTTCAATAGCCCCGTATACTTGAAAAAGCCTAGGTAGTCACCAGCAAGTGTTGATATGAGTTAGTGGTGTGACGTGGTTGCTAAAGGAGCCGTTTTGACTTGTACCGTATTAACGAAGGTATGCTTTCTATAGTAAGGAAGACGATAGCTGTGTTCAGCTCAGCTCTGTGCTTACCAGTCCACTCTTGTGTTACAGTTCATTTCGCTGAGGAAGGCAGACTTCGTGGGGGTCTAGGTAGAAGACAGATGCAGAAGTGACCTGTGGAAAAGGAGGTCAAGAACTGCACAACTATGTCAGTGTAGACATGGGAAAAGGAGATAGGAGTGTTAAACCTGAAGAAAAGAAGGTTCAGGACAAAAAGCTAGGTGTGTTTAAATACGTGCAAGACTGTCACTGGAAGACAGCGTGTGCTTGTGCAGGGTATTCTCAAGGGGAAGACGTGGGACCTGCAGGAAGGATGTAAGAAGACAGATTAACACTCAAAACCATGGCCAGGAACGACAGGGTGCATTTTCTTGCAAGGAATTGAGCTTCATAAACTACGGCAGTCAACACCTTTTCTGTGTTGCTTTAAAGAAACTGAATGCCATAGACTTAGGGTGAAGTAGAGAGGGTAAACTAAACAGCCCTAACACAACCATCTTCTGTGAGGTCTTCTGACAGGATAACCCAAGAGATTGTAGCCTTTCAGATAGCAGCTCTTTATTTTTCATATTTATCTTCTTGAGGGATGAATTATCAACCGATTAAGCCCTTGATTTACTTTTTAAAAAATTTTCCATTTGTACTCTGTGTAATCATTCCATGTCGTCTTTAAGTTTACCTTTTCTGAGCTTTGAGCTCTTTCACAGTAAAGCATCCAAATGTGGTCTGTTGAGCTATGCTCTGAAGAATTTGGGAGACATGATTTTATGTCTTCTTTGAATTGAAGAACTGAATTTTAATTTTTCTTTTGGATGACATTTTAAAATGTTCTACTTAAAGACCATTTTTATTGGTGAATGCTTAAGGGCATACATTTTAAGTGTCTCCTTGGTCTCTATTAATGATGATCAGCTCTATAGTGCTTCGTTCACGTGCCTCTCACATTAGCCTTTTGCGACCCCAAATGTATATCAGTTTCTTTCTTACTGTGCGATTTATTTGTCTCTTGAAATCAGGCATCCATTCTTGGTTAAGATATGAATTATTGATGAGTCTTTTTGCATCAGGAAGCACAGATCAATACAGTAGTTAGAACAGTTATGATTTGTATCAATTAGGATTTTTAAAAACTTATAGTTAGCTCTATGCAGGGCGTTGTATGATACAGAAAAATATCTGTAGATTTCTGCTTACAGTCATAGGCAGGAATTATAACTTTCTTATCTTAGATTTTAGGGATTTTAGGCCGAGAGAGAATTTGATGTGAGAAGCAATATTCGTATAACTTTCCTTTCCTATAGGGATCTCAAGATATTAACTTATGTAGCCTCAATATATTTTACAGCAATAGGAGCTGTTCTTATTGTATATAAACTTTGGCATTACTGGCCCTTTATCAGTAATAGGTGCTTTGAGAGGTGTTATTTTGCTGAATTGTCTTCATAACACTCTAGTAAAGAAGGCGCGGCAGATACTATGAACCCGATTTTACAAAGAAAAAGGGAAGAGAGATGGTAGTGCTGCAGCAAATAGACATGGGCTCTGATTAGTGTGTAAAGTCACTATCTTTTTGAAATTGATAGGGAAAGAAGGACAGACTTTGTCTTCCTATAGTTGTGATATCAAATAATTCAAAATCGAGAAGTGTGAATTTAACTTAAAAAGAATATCGTTTGTCCCTTCTGCCAAATGAATTACCACATGGAAGGGGACTCTTGGCATGTAAGGTCTTTGAAGAATGAATAATTTTTTTAAGAACATGAAATAAGTAGACAACCTACAGTTCTGCTGAAAATGTTGGAGACACTTTTACAACCACATTGTGGTTATCTTTTTCTTCAGACTTCTTGGCCTCCTGCATGCTTTTTCGTATAAGTACAAATATTGAAGAATATAATCTTACCTTTCTGTAGTATTTTTTGTCTGCCAAAGGGATCCACCATCTCCCATTGGGTTTTGTATTTTATATCCATAAAGCAATTGAGAATAATTTAGGTTTAATTAACTTGGCAGAGGAGGCATCTTATTGTAATAGAAAGTAGATGATATTGACTTTATTATTACCTATGTTAATATAATAAAACCTCAACTTGCTTTTGTTTTTTGGCGGCTCGTAATTTACAAAGAAAAATACTTGATGTAATTGAATCAATTTTTAAAATATCAATTTCTAAGGTATGTTCTGGTTTCTATAATATTGAGACCAACTAGCTGTTGGACATCATTTTATAGTCTTAGACTTGCAACAGTCTAAGTGTTGCACATTTTCTGTTTCCTCAATACCTAATTCTTTGTCTAACGCATGGAGGGTGCTCACTAAAAGTTAATGAAGGAGTTAGTATCTAGCAAAATGTCACTGAGTGCGGCTCTGAATCATCGAGAAGTGTTCACTTTTGGTCTATATGTTGCATTTCCTAAGGCAGGAAAGGGAACTGAAATGCCTTCAGTTTTTTTCTGGGGTTAAAGTTGCCAAAGGTTAGTTACATGCATAAAGTAAATTAATAATTGCTTATAAGCGGCATTCTTAACCATTCCAGTTAGAAGGGTTTGGTTTTTTCATTCTCGTGCCTTCTGTGGTTTGCTGAAGTTTTTTTCATGTTCAAGTCTGTGTTTCCTTCTATCTGAATATCGACTGGGCTGACTTGGATGCTTGCCTTTTTCTGGTTTGGAGCAGATGATTGACAGAATATGTGTGAAAGTACAAGATCATCTCAACTCCTTACGAAATTGTGGGGGAGATGCTATCCAGGAAGATTTAAAATCAGCAGAGCGGCTCATGCGTGATGCTAAGAACTCTAGAACGGTGAGTTTCACTTCAGGCAGTGTGAGAGTCTGGTATAATAAAAACGTTTTATAAAATTTAGTTTTAGAAACTAGTTTCAACTTTCTTTATCTCTCTACCTAATTCCGAGTTTACTAACAAGTGGCGAAGTGAACTGAATTAGCCTTGACCTCCTTTCTGTACCTGTGCTGATGGCCCATAATCAAGATATAGAATAAAAAGCAAAGGGCCGGTGTGATTTTCAGAGGGTATGATTGGGCCCTCAGTAACTGAGAGGGAGCTATAATTTAAATGAGTAACAATTCCTTTAGTGATTCTGCTTCTAAGCTGATAACAGGAAACTCCCCTCTGTTATCTCTAAACGGAAACTTCTCTCACATTAGGCTTTGGTTCCCAAAGTGTGACTTAGTAGAGCAAAGACTTAACTGTGAGTCAGAAAAAGGGGGATCTAGGTTTGGTTCTGCTGTTAGAATCACACAGTCACTGAATGTCATGAGGTGTGAGGAACCTGTATATCAATCAGATACTCCTGTGATACAGTAAGAAATATATTTTGGCCTTTGTTCCCAGTTCCTGGTATGGAGCTTCTAAAACCCTTGTAATTTCCTGGTGATGGGGATGATAGGAGCATCTTTTGTTATAACATTTGGTCTTTGTTCCTGGTTCCTGAGAAGAGCTTCTAAAACCCCTGTAATTTCCTGAGTGACAGAGATGATAAGAGCATCTTTTGTTATTAATAAAAAGCCCCTCTCACCACACCAGAGTTTATCCTAATGAGATGACTCTCCCTGAGCCCTTAGATAGCTGCAGGATAGGGGAGGTTGCCAGAGGAACCAGCCATGTGATTAGTGTCACCCCACCCCCGGGCCCCCCGGAAATATAGAGGGGCTGGAGACTGAATGGACACCAGTGGCCAGTGATTTAATCAATCGTGTCTACGGAATGGGTCCTCCATAAAATCTCTAAATAGTAGGCTTCAGAGAACTTTTGGGTTGATGAACTCATCAGTGTGCTGGGATGGTTGTGTACCCAGACAGGACGTGGAAGCTCCCCCGACCTCACACTTTACCCCGTACATCTCCTTCTGTTTGGCTACTCCTGAGCTGTATCTTTTATAGTAAGCCAGTAATCATAATTAAAATGCTTTGCTCAGTTCTCTAAGTCATTTTAGCAAATTTGGGAAGCTGAGGAAGGATTCGTGGGAACCCCTTGAATTTATAGCTGGCTGGTTAGAAGTACCAGTGACAACCTGGGACCTGGGACTGGCGTCCGAATCGGGTGTGAGTCTCTCAATTTTGGGATGTGAGGCAAACTCCAGGTAGATAGTGTCAGAAGTGAATTGAACAGATTTGTAGGACACCCATTTGGAGTATGCAGAAAACTGGAGAGTGACCTGGTTTGGCAAACACCTACACTTTTGGTGCCAGAAGTGTTGTGAGTAAGTGACTCAACTTTCATACCCCAGATGAGGACATTAAGACGTGAGAGGGTAGTGTATTATTCCTGTGGTTTCAAAGCTGTTTAATGACAGAAGTGGTCAATGGGAAAGTCTCCTGGTACCCAGTCTAGTGTTTCTTAGGGTTGCTGTGAGTCATTGAATAAAAATGAATGCTCATAGTCTCAACCTCAGTTTATTAATCTGTGCAAACAGCCTTTGACTGAGAAGAGATTATCTTTAACAGTATTTCTTCACCCTTCTCATTCACTCTGAAATGACTTTGATGCTTATTAAAATATTTACTCAGTTATAAAGAGGTAAATTTTTACATTTTTCTTACAGTTGTTACCAAATTTATACCATGTTGGTGGTGCATCTTGCGCGGGAGCCGGTAGCTTATTATCCAGTCCCATTCAGGACACCCTGGAATCAATGGCTGGAGAAGTTACCAGAGTAGTAGATGAGCAGCTAAAGGTTTGTGGGGTTTGTTATTTGGGAACTGAAATTGTTAAGATTTAACTGTGTATCACAGCATTTCATTCCATAGCTGTCTGTGTTTTATAGATTTGTATGTGTGCATGCTGCAAAGATGCACTTGTAGTAAAAATTGGATACTGTGTCTTTTCCAGCTTCATTATAAAATTTGGAAAGACTTCTTGCATAAAGAGTTTCATTTTTGACAGTAAACCTCTAAATATACCTAATAGATGATGGGTTGCCACTGATAAAGAAATGATTGATTTTAATTAGGGGGTAGAGAGAGAAGTGTGCTTCAGGAAAAAGTACCTCCTGTTGTTAACACCTGATTTAGAGAATGGGAAAGATGATAGTCACTACATTTACAGTGTCTAGATCCTGCTTATGTGGGGAGTCTGCCACTAGGCAAATAGGTAATAATCCTTGTAAGGAGCTGTTTCAAAGACTAAGGAAAGGTATTTAAATGTAATTACAAGGTACCTAAGGTTGCAGAGACCTGCCTATAGATTGACTGAAAAAAGGTTAAAAAAGTTTTTGAAATCTTATGGGAATCGAGTAATCTAAGACCAGCTTTTGTTTAAAGTAACTTCAAGAAACAGCTACACTAGATAAATTTCACATTCAGAAAGTTTTCATCACTTCCAATCTGCCTATCAAAGATGCCTTTAAAAACTATGTCTGAATTTCTATAATTATTTGGCCTGTTTTCTTCTGAGAACACAACTGCTGCAGCATATAGGGAGTTTGGAGTGCAACTCATTAATAACTTTGCAGCACGTTAATTACTCTCTTTGAAAATTAAGTTAATGAAGGAGAAAATGTGGGATTTTCTTTTTAAGGAGTTTAAGTCCCTGTCTTCCTGTGCGTGTAATACAGAAGGACTCCGTGTGTCATTTTTATTTTATTTAATCATGGTTGTTTTGAATCCATTCTAAGCAGAGACAGATGGGCAGAAAAAGGACTGTGGATGGTGGAGTTCTGCGGTTAGACCATTTGTTACCTAATGGAACTTGTTTTATCCTCCATGGCACATAACATATTTAAAACAAAATTGGCTTTGTTGTTTATTTTTAAATGTAAAAAATGAAACTTTCTCTTCCTGAAATGTTTAAACAATACTAACATGTAGGAAAAAAAAAGAAAGTAAAAATCCCCTGAAATCCCAGAGATGGTGTCTCTGTCAATATCTTAGTGAATTTCTCGACATTTTGTGCCTATATACACAGTTTCTTGTATAAGTTATCATACTATACATACTGGATGGTAACCTTTTTCTGTTTGGTACAATGTCATGAATGCAATTCTAGGTTGATGAATAATCATTTGTTTTCTTTTATAAATTTTTTTTTTATTTTTAAAGACGGGGTGTCACCATATTGGTCAGGCTGGTCTTGAACTTCTGACCTCCGGTGATCCACGTACCTCAGCCTCCCAAAGAGCTGGGATTACAGGTGTGAGCCACTGCGCCCGGCTCAATGAATAATCATTTTTCATGGCTCTGTGGTATTCCATTGCATAGCTGTATCAACGTAATTTATTTTACAATTTCTGATTAATTTGGTTAGGGTAAATTTCTGTAATTGACCCATTGTTATGTCAAATAGTATTATAGTTTCGTATGTATTCACACGCTGCTGTTCACTGGTGAAGGCAATTGCTGATTTTGCCGCTGTTCACTGGTGAAGGCAATTGCTGATTTTGCCGCATCTTCAACAATACTAAGTTTATCAACCTTTTGATGTTTTTCAATGTAATGGGAAAAAAAGTTTCATTGTGTCTTTTTGTTTGCGTGTTTGTGGGTTTATTGAGACAGAGTCTAGCTCTGTCACCCAGGCTGGAGTGCAGTGGTGCAATCTCAGCTCACTGTAGCCTCTGCCTCCCAGGTTCAAGCGCCTGTCATGCCTCAGCCTCCCAAGTAGCTGGGACTATAGGCCTCGCCCACCAGGCCAAGCTGATTTTTGCATTTTTAGTAGAGACGGGGTTTTACCATATTGGCCAGGCTGGTCTCAAATTCCTGACCTCCAGTGATCTGCCTGCCTCAGCCTCCCAAGTGCTGCGATTACAGGCGTGAGCCACTGCACCCAGCCTCCTTGTGTATTTTGGATTTCTTCAACAACTCAGTGAAGCATCAAGTAATTTCGTTCTCCCTTTGTATTTCTTCTTCTGTAAATTATGTATTCGTATCCATTGCCTAGTTTGTTTCATTAAAGTATTTGTAAGAACTTATTCCATACTCTGATAACTGGCTAGAATTTAAATGGACATAAAACACTCGTGACAGAACCTTTCCTATCAAATAGCTTCAAACTGTTAATTGTCGTTTCAGAAATGCTCTAAATGAAAAATCATCCCTTATACCTTTGCTGTTCATTTTCTTCTCATTGCATGGAATTGTCGAAATGGACTCTTGCCAGTCTCTTTCTTAGGAGAGAGTAGAAGGAAAATTTCTGAAGTAAAATACATTTGAACTTTTAAAAGCCTAAAATAATATAAATATATTTAGGATCCAAAATATCTTCTGTAAATAGGCATTTCGTACAATTTTTTGACGTTGATTTCTCTGACCCCTTTTTAAACATCGCCAGTGTTCCCCATTCATCACTGCCTCCTTATCTGCAAGTATCATAGTGTGCTTTTCTCTCATTCTCACTATTTCTAAGGTCCCCGACCTCCAAATGGCCTTTCTCCCCACCATCCCCCGCCTTTTCCTGTTCCCTACTCGCTTGTTTTTATTATTCTCAGTCCTTCTGAGTTTCAAGTTTCATTTTCTTTGGGGGCGTCTGGAATGAATCGGAGAAAGTCCTCAACCAAAATTTCTTAATTAAATGTATTTTAAAATTTTCTTTTAACTGGATGCACCTTTCATTTTTGATACTTTTAATAGACTTCTTTATATTTTTTTCTAGTTTACATGACAAGTTGACAACCTTTTACTATTTTTAAGAAATTACCATTTGTCTATTTATATAAGCTACGAAATGCATTGATTTTCTTAAAATTGTGTAGGGAAAATGTATTTTTAATATAACCAGTATTAAGTTTTAAATTAAACTATTGTGGTTGTTATTTAATTCAACACTATATCAAATTTCCCTGTTTAAACATTTTCCTTTTTCTATTTCCCACATTCTCTAAACTTAACATGTTACACTTGCAAGCACTAAAGTCGATGGATTATCTTATTTAAATGTTATTTTGTGAAAATAATTATTATTATAGGGTGTGGTAGAATACAAAAGGAAACTAGCAGGCCTAGATTCGCGTCCTGGGTTTCCTGAGATGTGCTCTAAGCAAGTTGCCTACGTTTTTGGATCAAGTTTCCTTCTGCAAGATTATCTTGGCCTCATGATAATCAGGGGGATTTACTTCAGCTTTAATATTTGGTCATCCTGTACCATGGCCAGTCAGAGACATTTTGAATATTGGAAGAGAATAAGTTCAAATAGCTCTTTAAGCCATCTCTCTAAGTATTTCAGAAAGCAAAACAAATGGCTAGATAAGCCAGCCTTCTTAGTATACTTCCTGGTGGAAAATAAAGCTGTAACACTGGAGAAATGTCTTCTTTGAAGGAGGTGATGTTTCCTGTAGACTGGCCTTGCTTTAGGTGTTTCGGAATGACAGCACGCCTCCTGTTTTCCCCCTCTTGATCCTAACATTTGTTCCTGGAGTAGTAGTAGAGGAACAAGTAGGATTTGAATGTTTTAACATGAGGAAACATTCATTTTTCCCTTCTGGCCTTAAAGTCTAGGGTGTTTGTGTTGGCCTAGGAAATTCTTGATTTCATTCAAGGTTTAAATGGTAAAATACTTCACTGGTAAATTTCAGCTTTACTTAGGATATGATGCCTGAGGGGTTTAGGTGGCATTTTGTCAACTATTAACTCATTTTGGCCAGAAGAGTTCTCTGAGTTTTCCTTTTTCTAGACTTTATATTTTCCAAAGCAAAAGAAAGGAAGATTTCAGGGCATTTTAGTATAGAAGTTGTATTTGCTTATAATGAACTGCAAATCGGTGGCTCACTGCAAGAATATAAGAGCATAGCTGCCATGTTAAGGATATTAATCCAATTCACCTTACAAATATTAAACAGCTTTCCTAAGAGCCATTCGTTATTTTTACAGTTAAGAACTATAGACCCTCATAACTGTCATTAGAGAGAGATACAGGCAAAATGATACTGGATTATCATATTTCAAAAACAGGACCGGTTCATTGCAAGTTGTCTGAAGGTAGTCAAACAGAGAGACTAACAAAATAAAGACTATATAAGAAAAGTGAGGAAATTTAACATAAGCCTAATTTAGATTTCCCCCAAAAAAGAAAATAGAGACTAGGGGAAGGCAACATTTGAAGAGATGGCAGCTGGGAATTTCAGAGATGAATTAAAGACCAGAGTCTTCTGATGCAGGAAGCCCAGTGAAACCTAAAGCAGGATAGAGAAAAGCAAACGTACATCTAGAATGATTGTAATGAAAAGTGAAGAACACTGAAGATTACTTATCTTAAAAGGAGGCCAGAGTTATTTGGTGGTAGGGGGCAGGGAGAGTTTCTTTTTTATTACTTAAGAAAAGACATATGAAGACTGACAGCTCACTTCTCAGTAGTTAATGGAATCTAAAAGACAATGAAATAATATCTTTAAGCTTTAGAGAGAACGTAAGGCATCAATCTGGAATTACATACCTAGTGGACCTAGTTTTTATGAATGAAGATGAGAACATTTTCATCATTGCAAAAACTGAGGTCATTTGCTGTCACTAGACTACACACACACACACACACACACACACACACACACACACACACACATACATATAAAACAGACACTAAGAATATGCTTTAGGACAAAGAAAAATTATCTGAAAAGGGAGTCTGAGCTACAAGAAGACTAACAAGCAGGGAAGGTCCAAATATGAGTAAATAGTAACGTTACATGAAACAGTGACATTAATATTTAACACCCTATAAAATAAAAAGCAAATAGTGAAAGTGAGTATG